ATTCTCAAATTATAGACAGGCACATCAGTTTTATAACTATACTAGCGGCTCACCCTCGCTTCGCTCGGGTTCGTCCCCCAGGTACGTTTTAACAATTAGTATGGAATAGATAAACTATATATTATATTATAACTGTTTTACCGTAGGAATGATAAAATCTCCTGCAGTAAAAGTAGCCTATGTCACTCTCCAGCTCCCTAACTATCTCCACACAAAAAATCACGCCAATCCACTCCATTTTGACAAGGTAAAATTTAATATCAAAATGATAATATATTAATTCTTTATTATTAGATACTACTAAATTCTATATAAGTATGTGAATTATTTTTATTCGTAAAATATTAATGAGTAGGTACCTCTATATTTCACGAGTTTATATTGGGAATACAATCATGGCGCTAAAGTAAAACAATATGGCGTCCGGTAATAATACTAAAGTTGTAATAACATAGACTATAAAACATGTAATAGATATTTTATAAGCACTTTATATTTTTATTATTTATGGAAGACGTACAATTAAATGGCACTAAGATTTTTAATTGATAGATATCATGGTTGAGTACAGAGTAAAATTTCTTGTCCATACACTATTACCTACTTTTATCGCTAAATATTGCAGGTACAGTAGAGAACGAATTTACTTTACTGTCATAAAATGGTTGATATAAAGTACACTGGCACATATGTCGTTATATATACATACGAGTATAGGTAATGTTCGATTTAGAAATCGAATTTAGCTCTTATTATGCTCATAAAATGTTATTTGCACAGTACAAGATTAAAAAATCATCTTTATAACAGAAAAGGTTCGTGAGATAGAGAATGGAAGCTTTTTGGAAAATTCTTTATAATTACCTACCTAGGTACCGAGATTGTACTGAAATATTGAATTACTTCAATGTTAATTGTGTTTTGTTCACTTTTATAATGAAACTAGTAGTAGGTTTTTATTTTTATAAATAAAGTAACAAACAATTTAAATTTAATAAATCTTTTGATGGCATTAATTAACAAATTGTAAACATACTATAATACTTAATATAATATATAATACTTTCTTAGATTTACGCGAATATTTGACATTTTAAATAAAACGATCTTTTCGGATTTTTTCGCGGATTAATTTTGTTTTTTGGTTCCCGACGTTTCGAATGTAAAGGATCTCTCTCTTGACCATGATTGTTGTAAAGCATTCGAAACGTCGGGAACAAAAAAAAATCAAATTAAATCCGCGAAATAATCTAAAAAGATCGTTTTATATAAATTGTAAACATGTTTACTTTAAATTCTATTTTTATATAATTTGTAAAATGTATTCTAACATAATCTTATATAATATAATGTGCGATAAGAATTATAAAGTAAAAAATAAAAGTCATCCTAGATATAAATAGCCTACAGGTACCCATTCATAGACCTCCTATCGGACCTAACCACTTGCCAATGTTAATAGATAATTTTAAAAACAAAACCAGTATGAAATACTTAAGTATGACAATTACAAAAGCAAATCCCATAAGTCATTCCCCCTGTAAAGGCCTGAATGTCAAATTAGATTACATTTCCACGCTCACCCTAAAACCACAAAGCGTGAAGTTACCGAAAGTAAATAACGGAATACAAGATGGCCGAACGTCAATTTAAATTTACGTCAAAACATTGCCTTTTGTAATACAATAATTATGCTCTCTTTTTATAGAGAATTGATATATAATTATCTGCTGACATACAAAAAAATAAATTAATATGACCTATAATTCTAAGTAATTATTTTAAAAAGGGATGTCTGATGAATAATTTAAAAAACAAACAAAGTAAGACATAAGCATATTAAGTGGAATACATACTTATAAACTTAAAATAACCTTTATAATTTTAAATAAATAGAAATCTAAGAAAGTATTATTTAAATCTAAGAAATATCTAAATAGAAATCTAAGAAAGTACTATGATCACCTTTATAAATTGAAAATCTTTTTGGATTTATTTTGATTTTTTGTTCGTCCTGTTTGGAATACTTTACAGCAGTGTTCCTCCAGGGTTACAACAGAGAACCCGTAACATACAACAACTCCCCTAAAATACAGTGTATTATTTGAATAAAAGTTAACAAATAGGTATAGTGTCAAAAAAAAAAATTGCGCAGGTATTCGTTGCGTCGAGTAATATTCAGAACGTCATAATAATGTTGTATTTAGAGTGAACTAGCATTGCCCGCGGCTCCGCCCGCGTTGAGATGACCAAAAACCAAATTCTTAGGTTTACATATTAGTCTACTCTTACAATGCAGTTTTTGTATTTTTTCTGAGAAATGAGATATTTTCTAGCGGTAAAAAGCATCCTATATGTTGACCCGGATAACCAACCAGCTATCATCATACCAAATTTCATCAAAATGTGTCCAGTGGTTTTCTTGTGATGCGGTAACAGCCAGACAGTCAAACAGTCAGACAGACAGACAGACAGACAGACAGACAGACAGACAGACAGACAGACAGACAGACAGACAAAAATTCTAAAGACTATAGATTGGGACTCTGTATCGATTGTAATATCTATTTCAATTAGATTTTCCAAAAAATATTTAATTTACAGATTCGGCTTAATTACAATTTTATTATAAGTATAGATGAATTGTCTGTAGTGCTTTTGTTTCAATAATTGTTAAGGCCGCTTTACATTGATAGGTACTCATTTTTTGGCGGATTTATTAATAAACGTAACAGATTGCCTAGTACCGGACAAGTAAGTATATTCTGACAAAATAATGTGCTTGTTCTATTCTATATAATCTTATAATTATGATTTATCTTTTTAGATCGTTTGATATACCTAATGAAGACGAAGAAAATAGGTATCTGGGACTCAAATAACTTAAAATTAGCAATTGATAATGTTTTTCAACTAGAAGATGACTATAAGAGAAGCTTCCGAGCGTTTTAAAGTACCAAAAAGCATTTTTTTTTGATAAAACTAAAGTAAAACCTATTGAAAAGAAGCTGGATAAGTATTATTGTGTGGTTTGTTGCGAAGACTACAAAGAGGACTGGATCCAGTGTGAAGAGTGTAAAGGATGGGCTTTTGAAGCCTGTGCGGATATCCCAGTGTTCAGACGTTTATGTTTCTGATCGTTATCAATATTTTTAAAACTTTCTTGAGGCTATTATTATCGCGATAATTAATTCTGGTAGCTTTATGCTTAAATATCGAGAATTATTTTCTTAAAAGCTTATCCGTAGTTAAAAGATTTGTCATTTATATTTACTTTTGTTGAAATATTTGGATATTTATAATAATTATGTGGTTCAGCGCCTTTATTGTATCAACGTAAAGCGATTATTATTATTATTTATTTTTATTTAATTTATTTATATTGTGTGACTTTAACTTTTTGTAAGCCTGCAAGCCTGGTCCTGTCCGGTCTTAAACATTTAAATTTATGTATACCTAATTGTCCGGTACTAGGTGCCAAATGTCAATGAAACCAAAAACTAAACCAATAATTGGATCCATTTTGAGTAATTAAAAAACACTTAGGATATACCTAATATTAATCTTTGTTAATTTATTTTAATCTCTAATATGATTGTTTAAATAAAAATATTATTTATTTAAAACATAATTATTCAATTTTTTGTTTATTAAAAACCTTGTGTCCGGTATTAGGGGGACTCCCCTTAGTAGGTATATGTAATACCTACCTACCCCTAGTATATGGAAAACAAAATCAAATCTATCCCAAATAAATAAATAAATAAATAAATACATAATATATGAAAAATACAAGAAATAGATACCTACCTACGACAAATATTTTAATAGAAAATGATAGATTGATTATTGCCACACTACCAGGTAGATAAACAGATAGGTAAATCTGAAATATTACACAATCGCTTACAAAAATCGAGGTTATTTAATCAAAATTGACTGTAATTTTAATAAAAACTAATAAAATATATAATGTAAATAAAACGTCATAAAACAACTAAATATGTATAGGTAAATTTAATTGAAGTCAAGTTAATTTTGTCACATAGGTACCCACATAAACAAGTAAGTAGGTTTTTCATAAAGTTTGAAATATAATACTAGGATATTCGAAATGGGATCCAGACAGAAGGTAGATATGCGAAGAAACAATTTTTAACTCTACATTTTTTAGTTTTATTTAGTAAAAGTCTCAGTAAAACTCTCATGTAAAATTCAAAAAGGCACATAAATATTTAATAATTAAAATAAAAGTAGGTACTTAACATGTACTTGTTTCTTAAGCTTTTCTAATAACCAAATTAGTCTTTTAATAAAAATGACTTGGCGTAGAAAATATTTATAGAACGAAAATGCTGATTGTGAAGTAAAGAATGGAATTTAAAATAGCTTTATAATATACTTAGCACCTATTTTTTAAATTATGTTCTTGACAACGACAGTAACAAAAACATAATCAACTTAATTAATTGCTATCATCGCCCGTTTGTGGGGCCTTATAAATATCTCTAATAACTGTCTGACATAAACACGAAAGCCATCGCATTGAATTCAGGCAATTAACCGATGAACTATAAATGAAGTAAAGTAGCAATTTCTAAGTGACAAACGTCAGTCCGTCGACGCTAAATAATGGAGAGCCGTAGTTAGAGCCGCGTCTTCATCCCGGTAATTAAACGGCTCCCTCCCCCCGCGGCTAAATTAATCACACTACGAATCTCGCCCCCCAATCCGGGTCCGATTAAAAAGTTTTATTGGAGCGCCGAGTGTGAAAGCCCCGATCGTCCAAGCCGCTACTCCCGACCAATCAGAGGGCAACAAGAGTAAAATGCTTATCTACCATTGGTCGATGTTAATCTCGACACGCCTCCTATCGCCGCCCGAGCCAGGGCTGTCACACGCCACGTCAGTTGACCGATGCGCGTCGAACCGTCAGCCGTATCTCGTGTTGTTAAACAGCCTCCGGTGTCTGTGAACGTGTGATGGATGTGAATTGAACAATGGAGGAGGAGTCGATGTCCGGACACAGCTGTTCTGAGGACGATATCAGCGTTGGTCGGCCGTCGCCGGCGCCTTCCCGGTCACCGTCGCCACAGGACTATTTTAGACCACTAAAACGACTGAAGATGGCTTCCGAACCGATGGAGGAACGTCGCGGAGAAGGTGTAAAGAGTTTCTCGATATTGGACATTTTGTCGCATAGTCCGCGCACTCCTCCTCGTATAGTGCGGCCTTGGGATGCTTCAGGGTTTGAGAGATTGCAGCGGTTGCAGCGCTTGGCCGGTGCTGCTTTGTTAGATGGTGAGCGCTGGAGGTTAGCGGCTTTGGGACTCTTAAGGCCAAGAGAAATGGCGCCAGCGGAATGCTGTGATTCTGTATCAGAAAGGTCATCATCTGCTTCCGATTGCTGTTCAGAACCTAGACGAGCGCCGCAAGGGCCTAATGCTCCTCATACGCCCTTAGATGCACTATTCCATATGACCAGTAAAACTTTCGAAGCAAATAATGCTGACAGTGGAGGTAAGTGTTTAGTGTCATGTTATTTATTCCTTTTTTTTAAATTAAAAAAGTATAAAGCAGGATAAGTAACAATTAGATTCATCCATCAGTATCTAATTCTAATTTAATATCTACTTGGAAATGTTGTAACTTTAAGTCTCAATAACTTTTTACTCCTCCGTTTCCTCAAAATATTTTTTATATATTTGGGCTCCCTGTCACTTATCCTATCCAAAAATACCACCCACTCCGTCAGGGGCCGCGTCCCATATACTAAACTTGTGCCATAATAAATATATATATACCTATCTATTGTCGTAAATACATATTCTTCTCTACATCTTATTTTAAAAAAACTTAAACTTTTCATACACACAACGAAAAAGTTTGTAGCTATATAATTCAAAAGCACTGCAATTTCTAAGCTTACAGTAGGTAGATACTCTATGCGCTAACTTAAAAATGATTGATTCTCTCTTTTTTTCTGCCTTATCTTGGAAATCTCTGGACCGATTTTAGTGAGAATTGTAAAAAGAACATTGTTTAAATTGTGAGACTAGTTTTAAGCCTGGAAAAGAATAGAATTCCCGCTCTCGGGGATTGGATTTATTAAGAAATTCTTTCGGTGTGGAGATTTCAGGAAGTTTATTTAAGCGGAATTTTTATTTACTTCTTTATTAATTAGATTATTTTATAGGAACTATGACACTTTAAATACAAAATTAGATTGGTACCTACTTTAAATTTTATTCTGACGATAATATCTATACTATAATAAAACAGTAGAGGTCGAATGTCTGTAGGTACATATCAAAAAAATGCTAAAAACCGAGTCAGGGGGATGTAAGAAGAGAAATAGAACAAATCCAGATTATTTTCAATTTTTTGTTTCTCTGCTGTTTGTCTGTTTGTACGGGCTAATCTCCGCATCTATTAGACCGATTTAAATGAAATTTTGCATGGTGGTACCTTATACCCCCGGGCAACATCTTAGATATTTTTTATCCCAGAAAATTAAATGGTTCCTGTGGTATACTTATACAGCTTAGTACACAACAACTTATGCACCTAATTTAATAAAATTTAACATTCTGATACCTTATATTGCTGGTCAAACAACAGGTTACTTTTCATCCCGGAAAAATGAATGGTTCCCGTGGGAACCAATAGATCTCTATCAGTGTTTTTCTAGAGGAGAACCCGAGAGAAGCGAGGGTGAGCCGCTAGTAACAAATAAATATGTCGGGACATTAACACACAGAACAATCTAATTTCATAGTAAGCCACGAGGCTTGTGTTATAGATACCAGATAGTTGATACACTACACATATACAACTTTAAATACATACATACTATAAATATAAACACTCATGACTGGAATACAAACATTCGTGCTCATCACACAAATGAATTCCCCCAGCGGGACTTGAACCTGCGACCGCTTTTACAGCAAGTAGGGTCACTAAACTGAGCCAAACGTGTCATCATGATAAAATAGTATACAAACATTTTAATAATTTAATAGTAATATAGAATACAAAAACTGACTCTAGCCGAGTCAGACACAGTACCTACAATTACAGTTTAGAGACACGCCAACAAAATATCTTTTATCTAATAAGCGTATAAAATAGAGATATCTACTTTAAAATGGCTTACCTTGCGGAAATAATCGACGGTGTCTAATTGATTTAATATCATACACCTAATAACATGTAAGTATAAGATATTTGTCTCGGGTAAGGTAAAGTATGTCTCGACATGTCTATATAACAGTATTAACGATACAGTCAGATTTGGTTATAAAGTTCCATGAATGTAATTTAGGTCCATCGATGCTAGCATATAGTTAGCAATGTCCATTTAGTATTTACCTACACAACTGATAAGCAGTAATACGAATTTGATGACTTCTATCAAACGCTTAATGTTGTTTGCCGTTCAGTATTAATATCAGTGTTATTAAAGTTAAATAATAGTTTTGCAAAATAATTGCCAGTACTACGGTTATACGACATTAGCAAATGCTTCTTACAGCTCTTTAACTATTAAGTTTTTATTGTGGAAGGGAAATTATGATATAGCTTAATTCTAGTGTGGCATAAACAGCAGTATCTAGGTATATATATACCTATAGCGTCTATCTGGCTTTAAAGAATTAAATTACATTTGTTTTAATGTTTACCTATTTAATAATATAAAAAAAAACACTCACAAATACCTATAGTAGCTTTCTTAATTAGTGATAAATATATAGGTACCTAATTGAATTGTACTTTTAAAATTAGTTGATACCTACATAAAAGGATGTACATGAAACACAAGAAAATTAGTTTTCTAATTTTATTTCTACAATGATATTATTATATGATAAAATTCTATTTGTACAATGTTTAATATAGTTTAGGATGCATTTGTAATGTAAAATATATCTCAAACTCAATTAACTTTCTAGCAATAAGAGGTTTTATCGTCCAAAAGAAAATAACATTGTAGCGTACATATCAGTTGCACATAAAATTCTAATTTGAAGATATTATAATTAAAGTGATCATCGTTTAAGACATTTTACGGTAATATACATATTATGTTTGTTTGAATGTTTATGGTAATTTAGATAAAGAAATTAATAAAATAGATCTAATTAAATGTAAGTATTAAATATTATATTTTAGTACCTATTGAAATTGAATATATATAGCAATGTAATTTATATAGGTACACAAACGGCTAACTCGATGCAATTTAAAGCTATAAACTAAGCTAACTATTAAAAATTAAAAATAGGTTGTATATTTAAAAATAAATAAATAGTGTTTAAATTAAGAGAAAACGTTAAAAAAAGAATATATACATTACTATAAGTATATATAAAAAGTACGAGGAATTAATAAATAAATATGTTAGGACATAGACACACGGCATCTAGTTCCATGGTAAGCTACGAGGCCTGTGTTATGGATACCAGATAGTTCATACGCTACACATATTTAACTTTAAATACATACATATTATAAATATAAACACCCATGACTGGAGTACAAACATTCGTGCTCATCACACAAATAAATGCCCCTAGCGTGACTCGAACCCGCGACCACTGGCACTGCAAGTAGGGTCGCTACAAACTGAGCCAAACTTGTCGTCAAAAATAAGACGTAATCTAAAGAAATATATTTATACATGAAAAATATAAGTTTCATTTTAGAACAGCTCCATATAGACTTTTTTATAAATTAATATCCTATAGGTACCTATTCTTCTGCTTATATATATATATATATATATATATATATATATATATATATATATCCTATTAAAGAAAATTGCGTGCAAATTATTCATTACTTATAAAAAATGAACTTAAATATTTTGTTGAAGGACTGTCTATATATAATATTTATATATGAGCTAATGATTTAGCTATTATATTCACATAAAGCGACTAACGTCCCACTAGTTTATAGATGTCGTTTAACCGCCGACGTTCATTACAGTATTAATGTGAACGTATAGGTACGCAATTACTTGATAGATTTATATGTAAATGCTTTTTAGCTTATTCACTGTGTGGTCCGTATGGGAGAAGTCACAAAATAATGTTACTAACGCCATATGAGACTTCTCATTATCTAAATATAAAATATTATGTGTTACGCAGGCATTAGAAGGCATTATAATTTTGCAAGTTAAGTTTTCTCTTGGTTAATATTAATTAACTACTCACAGTTATGAGTATTTAATGTATTTGTCAGTAAAATTACACTTTTAAAACTAATTAATCTATAGGTACATATAATAAAATTTTAATTAAGCCGAATCTGTACATAAATTTTTTTTGGAAAATCTTATTAAAATATACATTATTTTCGATACAGAGGCCGAAACAATATTTTTTTGAATTTTTGTCTGTCTGTCTGTCTGTCTGTCTGTTACTGCATCACGGAAAAACCACTGAAGGGAATTTGACGAAATTTGGTATGGTGATAGCTAGTTATCCGGGTCAACATATAGAATACTTTTTACCGCGGGAAAATATCTCATTTCTGAGAAAAAATACTAAAACTGCAATGTAAGCGTACTGTACTAATACTATGTAAAACCTAAGAATTTGGTTTTTGGTCATCTGAACGCGGGCGGAGCTGCGGGCAATGCTAGTTTCTTTATAAATTTCTTAATTTTTTACATAGCTTTGGGATCTATTTGAAAAAATATCTCACCATAGGTAGGTATATCTTTTATAAATTGACGTTCCGTTCAGTTTGCGTTTATTCGCACTAACCTCGGAAAATACTGGCCCGATTTTTTTTCAGGTTTTCAGTTTTCACCAATCGAAGGAGGAATTATTTGGAAAGATTAGAGTCTATCAATTATAAAACTTTTACCGGTATGATGATATTTATGAATCAAACCGGAAAAATTGACTGTCCAGAAGCGCACCCGAGCGGGGCGCGGATAAGTTAACTCTAGCATTACAATAAAAAAGAAATGAATCGATGAAAAATAAACATTGACTAATTAATAACAATAAGTCTTCATCGTTCCGAAACGTGATGACCTACTACATCCTACATCTTTGAATGCATTTTAATTAGAATTTCTTTACAAAACCAAAACAAACCTATCCCACAGGAACCGTACATTTTTCCGTTATAAAAAGTAGTCTATTCCAGACTATAATCTATCTCTGTGCCAAATTTCGTCCAGATCCATTCAGCCGTTCTGGCGTGAAAGAGTAACAAACATTCATGCATACTCACAAACTTTCACATTTACAATATTATATCATTAATAATACGGATTAGAAAATAATGTAATATTTAACTAAAACGCACCGCTAACAGAAAAAAATATTTCACATAACCTATCCGTTTTCGGTTGCAATTATATTTACCTAGTAATTATTTTAATAATTATATTTATTGATAAATAATTTTGCATTTAATTAGAAGAACAATAACTATGTATATATTACGAAACTGTTAACTTATATTTATAAAAGTGATATTTTTGTATTAAACACGAATTATATACGTCCATTTGTTAAAGGTGCGGGACCCGCACCTTATTTAATTTTGCTACATTTAAAAAAAACTGTACGTGCTACATCAAACTGTTACTGATTAATTATTTTTTCGACAATAAATAATGTAAATAGACACCTAATGTAATAACTATGAACTCTAAATTTATCAGATTCTGATATATGATTATATAGAGCTTTTATGTAATAGGTATTTCTTTCTAATTTTATTTGCCACAAATACCTATACAAAATACCAGCCGTCGTAATGTAGCAGCATGCGGTCGACTGACTCTATCATTTGTATTTAAATTTTTTTCTTTATGGTACAAACGGTTACATGAGTAATAATAAGCAAATGGTGAAAAGTCGGATAATGAAAATCTACATTTTCTCGCCTATGCTACAGGCAATATGCTTAATTAACCTTATAATTTGATGCAATACCCATATAATTTGATGCAATATATATCTTTGTCTAAATATAAGTTAAATATTTAAGATTGCCTTACAGTGAAGGAAAAACATCGTGAGGAACCCTGAATGTCTGAGAGAACCTAAAAAGTTTACGAAAGACATAGTCCGCTCGCGCTTGGCCAGCGTGGTGTACTTCAACTTGATCCCCCTCGATTGAAGGGAGGTCCGTGCCCACCATTGGGACGTTAAAAAGGACTGAATACTAAAAGGATAAATAATGAATAAATGAATGAATTACTCTTTATTGTACACCCAAAAAGAGAAAAAGAAAATATACAATATAATATAGAAGAAGATACAGGAGGCGGCCTTATCGCTAAAATAGCGATTTCTTCCAGGCAACTTTTAGGTGTGTAGTAAATAGTACTAAGATAGAACGGGCGCGAATACCAAATAAAGAGACAGTAGAAAGATTATATGTATATTTATACATATCCAGTCTGTAAACGATAGGTAGGTAGTCTATATTCAAAATATAATTTATTTTTATTTTGTAACATGAAACAAACGACCGTTGAAACAATGTAGCCATTGTATGGCCGATTACCGACCGCGTGATAATACTTATTGGTTATCGACCAGGTATGTTAACATTTGTAATACCTGCATCGAATAGGCGATTATGCCATGATTACAGAGCGGCGCTTGTAATTGAAACGTGGTTGAACGCATCTGCCTTTGCGCTCTGTTATTATATGTGCGTGTTTTTTAAATTGTCAACGATGATTTTGGCAGTCATTGTATAGTACGGATGTATTATGTTTGATGAAATCATTTCGATCAATTCGTAAGCGATTTTATTATATAGGATAATTTCTACATTGTAATCAGGATTTAATGATCAATTTGTTGATAGCCTTTAAATATTTAAGCATATGACGCAAGTCCCTTTTACAACTGAATAACATTAGAGTAAAATGATAGTGGCAACAAAATGCAGAAAGATAGAAATGACGTCAACAAATTAGTTTTAAATATACTCAATGACGATAAAAATGAACCACTTTTAAATGACAGTGCAAATCAATGAGCTCTCAAAGGTTCCAAAATTTACACGCATTGAACCATTCAAAAAACACAAATTGACTATATAAGCGTAATTTAAACGGACATTGCAAAAAATCCATTGTTACCGCCACAAAAGAAGACATCAACGCTAACAATGGCTCCAAATTCGAACGTACGTCAAAAGGAAAGGCGGGAATTGTCTATGCTCCATATGCTACGAGATTAACATATTAAAAAGTAAAGTAATTTGTCATTGGCGGCTTGATTGAGGAAGTCATCTTGCCAACGGAAATAATATTTTTTTAACATCCCCCTCGGCGTTACATTATTGTGATTGTGATATCTATATCATTACTAGAGCGTTAGATGAGTACAATAAATGATAATGTATGTAGTTTTTATATGTTTAGAAAGGTTTAAATTTAAATGGGGAGAGGAATAACCGTTTTTTGTGACTTAATTATACATTGGGCTCACATAAAAATTGGAGAGTGTAAGTGAATGATGTAATTTATGAAATAGAAGTAAATAAAAATCGCCAGTGCCAAACATGCCATGTTAAAATATAAATTATATGTTACCTTGATATAATAATATATTTATTCTTTCAATTTTAAACTTTGTATGAATAGATTATTCAAACGTAATTGGAGCAAAAATATGTCTTCTACTGTATAGCATTAGTTTGTACTAGAAGGCTAAATACTTACATGAACATGTATGTCACCATCTAACATCTAACTAACACATTATGTGTAGTTACGATGCAATCGCTGTAATGATTCGTAATGAACGTGCTATTTGTGCACTATTTGCTTAATTTTCTAGACTGAACATAGAAAATATTTATAAGTACCTAAATTATTATCTATATCTACATATATACCTATTATAAAAGTATTTAAAAACTAATCGCCGTCTGTGCATGGAAAATATTTGAGAAAAATTATTAGTGGTCTCTATTAACGCAATAGAACCCAAAACAATGATTTTTAGTATTTTTGTGTGTTTGCCTGTGCGTTTGTGCGCGCTAATCTCAGAAACGGCTGAACCGATTTAGGTGCGTTTTTCGCTAATGTATTGTGGTAAGCTGCACTTAACATTTAGTATTTGTTTTATTTCAATCGGTTTATAAATAAAAAGGTTTATCAATTTAAAGAATCGCCTAGGGACGAACCCGAGCAAAGCGAGGGTGAGTCGCTAGTTTTAAAAACAATAATCATAATTTCCGTAATCTAGAAGATTAATAATTTAAAATACGATTTATTATTAAATTTTAAATAAGTAATTAACATGATAATTAATACAACATTTAGTAAACTGAGTAATGACAACGTTAACATAATAAATTCGCAAACCATATTGTAATTATGTAGTTTTATTATTAGATTAATATTAATATAACATCTCTCAGCTTCAACCCTTAAGAAATACACATTAGTTGACTCATTTTGTCTATGGTCGTCAAGCGCGAGCCCAGGATTATTATATTTTATTACCCCACAAATTGTTCTTCAACCTCCTGTGGGGTCCAAAGGTGTCAGAACCGGCACGTTTGTATTGCCTCTATTATGAAAAGAAAAAAGAGAAGCAAAAAGTCGCTCCCACCATTAAAGTACAGGGTGCTTTTAGCCAATAATACGTTTAGAATTCGCTGACTAATTGATTGTGAATGGTTTTATTTAATTGGAAAACGATAGGTGCATGAAAAACGTTGAAAGCTATAATAATTTTTTGTACACTTTTTTCCAAGTTATATGAGGTTAATATAATTATCCTAGGTACCTTAATAATTTTTGTACCGAATATTTGATTTGTATGGGTAAGCAAAAAAATATAATTAATTAAAAGTAAAAAAATAATAACAAAGTAAAATAAGAAACAAAAGCAAAAATATTTTTATGCCTAAGTAAAACTTTAACGTTAAAATTGGTTGGTGTGACAACATTATCCTTCACTATACTTAGAAATAATTATAATAAGATTATTCTAATTCCCTCAATAAGGCCAAAAGGACAATTTGTACAAATCACTATGAAGGCATAAAGGCAAGGTGTCTCGCTCTTACTTCCATAGTAGGAGTGATGCAGGTGTATTCGATTAATTTAATTATATTATTTGGGTACACCTTCATCGACTGCTATCTTGTCCATCTGTGATATGATGGCATAGACTGTTTGACCAAATAGGGTGCACGTTTTTGTTTTTCCGTTAAAATACGTTGGCAGCATTTTTTGATTATGACTTGCAATACGCTGGTACTTTTTTGTTATAAAATATCAAATTGTGTCCAATTAGCAATTAATATTATATGACAACAAATGTTATCCATCCTTCAGTATTATTTATAGAGTATCTAACAATATTTTTCGTGGTAAATAAAGAATATTATACTTACGTAAAAATTACAAAAAAGAAGAAAATTAAGGCACGAATTTGTCGATCACTTCTAAGAATTAAATTACTAAATACCTTTAATAAAAAGAGATAGGTAATTATGAGATAATTTAAATTATAAAATTAGTCGCACCATCGTGTAGCAATCGTATTGCATTATATTATTGCCGGGCATTATTTAATAACCCCACATTTGGACACCCGGGCGGAATTACAGCCGTTTGTAAATAAACCGCCGGCTTTGTAAAACACCGACGTTTATCTCGAGTGAATTTAAGCATTGTTTTATTTAATTACAACCTAGTTTTGACCCGTGGCTGCGCTCGCGTGTTACGATAGTGAAAACAACTCAAAAAACTATCCACTAGTATGAACATATTATTGAAGCTTCGAAGATTTACGCGGGTGAATAAACAGACAGATGAAGAATATTTTTTAATGGTTAATTTGCCTTTAGTCTCATGTAAATAGTCATATTATCAATGTTCGAGGAAAAACCTATTTTTGAAATATAGGCAGACATAGTATGTTTAGAAGCGTTTATGGTTAGATATTTTTTTATAATAAACTAGCATTGCCCGCGGCTCCGCCCGCGTTCAGATGACGAAAAACCAAATTCTTAGGTTTTACATATCAGTATACTCTTACAATGCAGTTTTTTTGTATTTTTATCAGAAATGAGATATTTTGCCTAATTTATTTAATTTTTCTTATATGTTGACCCGGATAACCAGCTACCATCATACCAAATTTCATCAAAATCCCTCCAGTGGTTTTTATGTTATGCGGTAACAGACAGACAGACAAAATATCTAAAAACTATAGATTCGGCCTCTTTAACGATAATAATGTTTATTTCAATAAGATTTTCCAAAAAATATTTAATGTACAGATTCGGCTCAGTTACAATTTTATTATATGTATAGATATAAAAAGAGACATTAATATCTTTGTTATAGTTTTCCATCACCTTCAACAATATGGCACGGATAAACTTATATAAACCTAAAATATATAGTTACAAAAGAAGCACGCACTTCCACATTCTTTATATAGAGAAACCGAAATAGTAAAATGATGTTAAATTCTGTATCTAAATAAATAAAAAATGTACATATATTGTGTCCTCTCTCTACATGTCCCCTTTACAGGCAAGCCGGAATCGAGCCGTTAAGTAGGTATCACGTTATTAAAAATATACAGTTTCTAAAGATGTGAATTCGCATAAAATGTAATAAGCTAATTATTAGAATAAAAGTTGAAGTGTGAATCGCGCATGTAAAATTATGTAAGAGATAAATTACATTTATTTGCCATTGTAAATGTTAATACTTGTGTGATAAACATAACGCTCATCCAATAGAACAATGACGTAATTACGTTTTAGCTATTTTTCAGGAGAACGTTTTGAAAGTTTGAAGCTTAAAATAAAATGTGTATTAAATCATTCTAATGATTTTTTTTAATATTTATGAATGTTACTCTAACTGTCAATAAAAATGTATAATAACTTCCTTAGAAAACTCAAGAAAATTTTTAAAAATACCAATTATAACAAACCTGACGTACACTTATGCCATTTTATAAATGAAATTTAACAATTATGACATAAACTATGTTATGAAATGGGAATAAAACATGAATTTAAACAACAAAATAATCAATGCAGTTTTATATTTATAAACCTTATATTTATATAATTTTAAAAAGCATAAAATCAAGTAGGAACATAAAATAATATCACAATTGCTTAAAAAATAATTAAACAAGAAAATAGACATTTAACTCAAAATTAAACTTGTTACAAAATAGAATTATAAAAAGCCTCATAATATTTTGGTATGATATTAGTATTTATTAAACGCGACAAATCAGCTTTTTTACGATCTGAAATACAAAGTTTAGCACTATATGCGTTTTTCAGGCGAATTTCGGCGAATTTCGTCTTTTAGATCCTATGTTCATACCACATTGAATCTATTCTGCTGTATCGTCGTATGATCTCTTGTATAAATAAACATCAGATCCCTTAATAAATTTAATTAGTCGAATGTCCGACAACTTGACAATATCTCCATTAAGATTTTTGTTGAAATTGATAGATAATTGATCAGTTAAATCCTTCCAATCAATAAAATCTGAAAAATTCAATTCATGGACGACGTAAGGTTTGCCTTTTCTTTTAGCGTTTCTTATTAATTGAATATATTGATCGGGAACGTATATGGAGCCTGACTTTTTGGCATTTTTAATGGTCTTTTCAATAATGGAGTGAACGTTGTCTCCTTCATTTTGGGTATGACCTCTCACTAAAAACTTATGGGTAATTGAATTAATTGCCAATGTTCTTGCTGCATACGCATACATGCTTAGTATCTGAAAATATAAACATTCAAATATCGATTAATAACAGTATTGACTAATGTTGATATCAGAATTCATTCCGTGCACTTAAAACCTACCTATTCCTTTACTGACAACAGCAATTATCAGAATAGAAGATAATATTTATGTTGGGACTTTCAAGGGCAATCTTTTCTAAAAATTTAAAAACACATGAACCTATTTTAATTGCACCACGATTGCCCAATCCCTCATGCCAAAAATAACTATCAGTTATTTTATTCTTTTAATCAGATATCTGAAATATAAAAGTAATAATGCCATTTATAATTATTAAGATAACTGTATATAATGAAATTAAATTTAAGACTTTAATAATAACTTACAGTAAAATTTAAGCAGTTGAGTTTTGACTTGTAGTAGAAAGCAGACGATTCACCTATTGGTTTTGGCATTACTGCCTGCAAATCATAAATAAAGACTAGGGTATTACTGTTGGCTTCGTTACAGGTCTCTATATCTTTGGATTTTTCATTACGACTTAATTGTTTTTCTCTTTGATGTAACTCATATTCTAGGAGCAAGTTGTCTTTGCCTTCACCTACGGCATTTTTGTAAGATTCACACAGATCGCACTGATCTTTCTTTGGAAAAAAAAGATATATTAAAATTAGTTTTAAAAATTTTTGCGTAGACGTCGTAAGTTACTGCTTCTTTCTGTAGAGAAGAACGTTGTGTCTTGTAATTACGATGTAATTCAGCAATTGGACCACCATCTATAAATTCTCTAGACGTGTTAGCTCTTAAATAATGCGATTCAATCCGTGGCACTGAATTAATATGGTCTTTAACAGATTGTACAAGTTCTGGATCTCTTTTTTTTATGATTCCCATGTTTAACTCTGTTATCTTTAGGGGCCATGCCAGCATTATAATTTCTGGTCTCGATTACAGTTCTTAGTGTTCTCTCAGTAATTCCGAGTGTTTAACAAAAAATTTTTGCGTACTTTAAAACATTGACCGTTATTTAATAATGAAAATAAGCAATTAGGTGTTCTAGGTTTGTCTAGGTTCTTTATACGACGACATGAAATATTTATAGGTTCTATACACGTGCATAAAAAATTTCTCTGTCTTTGAAGAGATGCCAAATTCCAATAACTTTTAAATATCTCCTTTCTTTGATCCTCTGAAAACTTGTTCCTACATTGTAATCTACAGTCGCATGGCGGTATTATTAGTTTACTTGCAATCTTTTTTCCGGTGTGGGAAATGTATTCTTTTCCAGAATTTTTCAGTTGTTTTGATATATTCTTCTTCCATATCTGACGACAGATTCCTTTTCTGAGTTCCACTTTGACCTTCAATTTCAGCTAAAACACAGACTTTTCTGAGAACTGGGTCATTTCAAGTAGGAAAATTAAAAAGGAAGAAAATAATAGTCTTACGTTTCAATTTTATAGGATTATTCATTGCTGTCAATTCTGTCTGGATGTTATAAGAAAAAGGTTGAGGTACATGTCCGTCTTTACCCAACTTTACCATCTGCTTGATTCTTTTTGGCCTAAACATATTATTTATATTTATGGCCTAAAACAACACCATTTTTATTAAATAAATAAAGTACCACAAAACTTTTAGAATCTTCTTGATAACAAAAAAAGACATAAAAATTGAATACATAGAATAGCATTTATCATGTAGGTATGATCAAAAAGAAAGTATAATTAACGTATTAATGATAATACGTTAATCATAGTTTAATATTAAGTAATTTATCAGTATTTTCAATATGCGAGTCAATAAGAATATCAAATAACATAATATACTTATACATATTTAAAATAAGTATGCACTTGAAAATAATTATGTACCTACCTTTTTATATGTTATTTGTCAGAACAGGAACGTATTTGGCAATTGTGTCATATAATGAAACGATTTAATGCAGTTTTATTGACATAATGACATAATTGTCAATTGCGTCATTGTTCTACCAATAAAATTGACATAGTTTGTCATAACTTACATTTGTGTCGCACTAACTCCCGACACGGTCTCACTTCGCGAGGCGCCCCGCACGAGTGACAAATATGTCGATGTTTCCGAGTATCCTTTTGAAAAATACGTCAATTCCCTAATGTCATTCACTCCATCTATCGAAAACTACCGTAAATATAATTATGCCGTTTTTGTCATAGATAGAACTTTCGAAATAAGAACTTATGACAATCAAAAGTCATTTTCAACTTTTTGGTAATTACGTCGTTGTTCTATTGGATGAGCGATAAATAGGGGAGGTGGGAAGTTTTTTTATACAACGTTATAAAGAAACTCCATAGATACTTCACAATTTGATTTTAAAACTAGGTTTCATGAGTCATTATAATCTAGTACAAAATATATTACGAAAATTACGATAAAAGATGAGATTTCAATGCAATTTCCGTTCGTTCAAATATATTATAGTTCCATAGACCTACTCTTTTCAGATGTAGATTATATGCTGCTTTATCTGTATTTTATTTTAGCTACATAATATATTGTAGTGTTATGTGCCCATGTGCATATGCCCATGTGCATATGCCCATGTGCATATGCCCATATGCACAGTGCACATACCACGTGCAATATCTTATTAGTATAGAGGGTAGAGGTAAGGAAAACCATCTTATTTGGGAGACAAGTTGAAAAAGTATCCATCTGTAAGCGGTAAATTAAAGTTCAAAAACCCATCAAAATGGCACTAGCGTAGCAAGGGGATATGATATGAATTTAGCAGTTGTAAACGAAGTGAAGTGTTCTGAGTTGAAAAATTTAATATTTTGGGTGACTTGAGTAGTAGTTTTCTGTGAACTTTTAATACTTTTGGCGCTTTTTTCAAAATGTACGCACTTGCTACCACACCGCCACCATAATTCGATTCTTTTTGACGGACACTTTTTCAACTCAGAGATAGTTCTCCTTACCTCAATACTTATTAGTTAACCTTTAGAAGACGTTTGGCAGCCTTTGGCTCTATCGTGCACTTTTCGTTTGTTAGAAAGAGATATGACATAATATTTTAGTTAAACGTATTTTCAATTTTGTATGTAGTGACTAAATTAATAAATAAAAAAGAATTAGGTTTTATTGCGGAGGGTAAAAAGAATTACTCAGTATTTTCTAAATAAATTTAAAAAAAAATTAAAGCTTTGCAGACTTGCTTGTTATTTTAATTTAACTGTAGATTCGTGGCAGAAATCAAAAGATAAACCTTTAAAAAAGACCCATTAAGTTTTACACCTTTCTACTTCTGATATTGATTTAGATAATAGATCTCTATCGATTTATTTTTTACCAAAACCATTCGGTAATTATGTGCATGTAGTAACGTTTAGTGGCTTTATAAGTTTTTCTGAAAGAATTATTTCTTCCCCTTCATTATGTGGGCGTTGATTAACTGTGTAGATACATAATATTATATGAAAATATAAGTATAAGGTTTCTCACTTATCGTAAATGTATATAATATACTAGCGGACCCGACAGACGTTGTCCTGTCTACACGTCTTTAATTTGAAAATTTCAAACTTTTTTAATAATTTTTTTGATGAAAATTATTATTCAAATTGTGAATCTAAACCATTCCCAGATCCCCTTGAATACACACAAGAAAATTTCATCAAAATCGGTCCAGTCGTTTGAGAGAAGTTCAGTGACATACACACTGACAGAAGAATTATATATATAAAGATTATATTACCTACCTACATGTATATTAAACTGTATTTACATAGGTATTCTTAGAGTTTCTTTTGTCTCACTCTCAAAAACAATCTGTTATTAATATTTCGTAATGGGATAAATCTTTTTGTCATAAGTATATACTTTATATAAAATATTCACAAAAGAAAATGTATAAAAAGATACCTACATCAAAATTACATTTAATTGTTTTAAACGAACAATGTTATAAGCAAAAAATATTTAACACATCTGCGCGTATAAAGAAAGTTATTATAAAATCGATCCTCGTATTGTAATTATTTTATTAAAATATACGCTTAAAGTAAGATTTCTTAAAAAATCGAAGATGATCAAAGGACTGTAGAAGTTTGTTCAGAAGTTTCTATAGTCCTTTGATCATCAACTTTCCAAAAATTACGAGTCTTTTTTAACATCGTCACGACTTATATTCTCCATTATTAAAACACGCAAACCATTTTTCATTGAATATAGATTTCAATATAGGTCACAAAGTTCTTTTGTATCTTTATAATTCCTTCACAAAAATCTGCGCCCTATATTCATACAATAGAGGCTACATTCGCTTGTATGAATAAAAGCAGATGGCACAATATGTAAGTTCAGCGTACTAAAGATCGCGCGTCGAATTATTTTCTTATTGGCGCGATTGTTTGAGAAAATAGCTTTTAATAAAGGAATGCATTATGAATCTGACAAAAGTTGCTTCAATTGAATTGATATCGAGTCATCGTCTGGCGTACCTACTTACCTACTCGAATTTAAATTATTGTTTTGACTTGTCTCCATAGCATAGAGCGAAGAGATGGAGATCTTTTAAAATTAAGTTCAAATAGGTATAAACTATTAAACGTTCATTTAAATTAGATTATATAATTGATATACTCGTAGAAAACAATGATGTATGAAATAATATACGTATGTTATTGTAAACATTATAATTTTGTATCAGTTAAAATTAAATTGACGTTTACGTTTTAGCGCTTAGTATAGATTTCTCAGAGATGAGATATTTTCCCGCAGTGAAAAGTGGATAACTAGCTATCATCGTACCAAATTTCATCAAAATCTGTCCAGTGGTTATCCCGGGATGCGTTCCCAGACAGACAGACGACAGACAAAAATTATAAAAACTATAGATTTAGAATTTTATTATACACCTATTAGATTACGACCCACCGATCCGTATGGCGGTTGATATTGATTGTTACATTTTTCTTTCAATGCTTTTTAAATCATTGTACTTGTTACAATTGCCTTCAAATCAATAAACAAATTAAAAGTTTAGTCAGAGTTAAAAGTATACGAAAAGGACTAATTCTTTTCTAATACATCTATACTTTGTTTCTCAAATATTTGAATGCTATCTACATATTTTATTATAGGTAAGTAGGTATATACACATTAGGTTCTATTAAAAAATATTTTTTCTTACATTTACATATTAACTTCATATTCAATTCAATATATTGATATACATAATAAATACCTCAAAAGCTCTATTGTTTTAATATCTAGAAAGTTTAATACAGAAACGCTACGATTACGAATCTTTTTTCAATACATTTTTTATACTTCATAATGCAGCATAACGCAGTTCATTGGTTGGCCATGGCGATAAGAGATAAGGGAGTAAATCACGTAATTAAATTATGTTTACAAAACTTCCGGACCGGTGATTGGTTCAATAATATCTACTGCAGGATAAAGATTCTTAAGGTACTAGATTTCAGTAGTGATTAGTAAAAAAATCGTAGGTATTGGTAAGTGAAATTTGTAATTGTATAAGTATTAGTTGGTTCTTTTATTCAATTCAGTTTATTTGTGTAGTGGCTTCTAGGAGTGATGTGTTGGCACAATTTACTTCGCCAATGTCACGTAAAATGGAGAAGACACGTTATATATGAAAGGACCGATAAAAAAGAGAAAAAAATATCTGGATCTGATTTTTTATTTATTTATAGCGACTCACCCTTGCTTCGCTCGGGTTCGTCCCTAGCTTGCTTCCCAATACAAACTTTCATCCCCATTTTCACCCTCTTACGGGATGATTTCCGGGATAAAAAGTATCCTATGTCCTTCCCAGGGTCTCAAACTATCTTCTTACCAAATTTCATCTAAATCGGGTCAGTGGATCCAGAGATTACCCTACAACGTCAAAAACTCACAAACTCACAAACTTT